GTTGAAGAGACAGCTCAGCCGTTAAAAGCACAGACAACTCTTCCAGAGGTCCTGAGTTCAATTCCCAGCAACCACATGGTGGCTCACAACCATCTGTAATGGGATCTGAGGCCCTCTTCTGGTGTGTCTAAAGACAGCTACAGTGTACTCACATACATGCAATAAATAAATAAATAAATAAATCTTTTTTTTTTTGGTTTGTTTTGGTTTGGTTTTTCCAAGACAGAGTTTCTCTGTGTAGCCCTGGCTGTCCTGGAACTCACTCTGTAGACCAGGCTAGCCTCAAATTGTCAAACTCAGAAATCCACCTGCCTCTGCCTCCCAAGTGCTGGGATTAAAGGCATGTGCCACCACCTCCCGGCTAATCTTTCTTTTTTTTTTAAGTCATTTGTTTCACTATTCTGTGCACAAGACTGCCTGTGTATTTGTATTCCTATGTATTTGTTGGGATTTTAAAGATTTTATTTTTCTTTATGCATACACGTAGGTGTCTGAGTGTGTGTCGTGTGTGGGCATGTGCCCAGGAGCCTTGAGCTTAGGCGTGTTTACATAGTCTCATAAACCCAACCTGCATTGCACAGATTGAGCCAGACGTGTGTCAGCACACACCTCTAACCCCAGCACTCGGAGGGCTGAGGCAGGAGGCTTTTGTACTCAAGCTTAGCCTGGGCTACAGGGAGAGACTACATAGAAAACCAGAGGACAGAAGAGGGAGGCAGGAAGGCTCCGCGGGCTGAAGTGCTTGCTTTGCAAACTTGACAACTGAACTCTAATCCTAGAAGCCACAGAAAAAGACCCAAATTCTGGGCCTGCGAGATGGCTCATTAGTAAAGGCGCTTGCCGCTAAGCCTGAGGACCTAAGTTCAGTTCCCAGGACTCAGGTGGTAGTAAGAGAGAACCAACTTTTGCAAGTTGTCCTCTGACCTCCACAGGTGCACTGTGACACAGACGGATGGAGACGGGGGCGCGGGCGGGGGTGAGTACCAAACTGGATGCTACAGTGTGTATCTGTAATCCCAGCATTAGTAATGCAAGGTGGGAGAGAAAGTCGGAAGAATCTCCTGGAAGCTCAAGATCACCCCCTAGCGGCAGTACACAGCACAGCAGCGGAGACAAGAGACTCCGCCTCAAAGACGGAGAAAGGCAAGAATCAGTCCTGAAAATGTCCTCTAACTTCCACACTACGGTGTACACACACACACACACACACACACACACACTGAAAAGAGGAAACTGAGCCACAGAATGGGTAGATACTGGCTTGCTGAGTTTTCATTATTTTTGTGTGTTCTCTTTTAGTTGGGGTGGGGCTCAGCAGAAAGCCCAGGGTTTTGGTTGGTTGTTTTGGTTGGTGTTTGTTTGTTTGTTTTTGAAACAAGGTTTCTCTGTGCAGGCCTGGCTGTCCTGAAACACTCTCTGTAGACCAGGCTGACCTCAAACTCACAAAGATCCACCTGCCTCTGCCTCCCAAGTGCTGGTTATTAAAGTGTGAGCCACCACTACCTGCTGTAGTATTTTCTTTGCAATAAAATAAAGAAGAACGTTCTGTGTTTCTAAGATTTCTAAATCAGGACCAGGGAGATGGCTCAGTGGGAAAAAGGCCCTTGTCATGAAGGTCAACTGAGTTCAGATCCCCAGAACCCATGGGAAAGCCAGAAGTGACAGCACTCCCCCCCCCCCCCGTCACCTGCACCGGGTCATCCACACCCCCCATCCATAACACAGACACAACTTAGTATTTTTTTACAAGGATAAAAAAAATTGCTAAGTCTGCACTCATCTGAAGCCAGTCTGGAAAGCTGGTGTGAGTGTGTGAACTACTGCTTCAGAAAGAGGGAGAGAGAGGGCGAGAGCACCAGGCTAGGCATGGTGGTGTACACATGTCATGCCCAGCACTTTGAAGGTGGAGGCAGGAGGATTAAGAGTCAAGGCCAGCTGGGCAGTGGTAGTGCACGCCTTTAATCCCAGCACTTGGGAGGCAGAGGCAGGTGGATTTCTGAGTTCGAGGCCAGCCTGGTCTACAGAGTGAGTTCCAGGACAGCCCGGGCTACACAGAGAAACCCTGTCTCGAAAAACAAAACAAACAAACAAAGAGTCAAGGCCAGCCTTAGCTATCTATCTATTAAAGAAAGTGTAAGGGTAGCCTGAGCTACATAAGGGGATGGGGAGGAGACCAGGTGGTGGTGGTACACACCTTTAATCCCAGCACTCAGAAGGTAGAGGCAGGTGGATGTCTGTGAGTTCGAGGCCAGCCTGGTCTACAAGGTGATTCCAGGACAACTAGTACTACACAGAAAAATCCTGTGTAGAAAAAAATAAATAAATAGAATAAAATAAAATAAATAAATAAATAAATAAATAAGGTGGAGGGATGGGACAATCGTAGGAAGAAAAATTGAATTGGGGGTGTGAGCAAGGGCTTGGGTTATGACTCTGTTTAGGGTTGGCGTTTGGGCCAACAGCAGCCAGAGGCATGGATGGGAGTGTGGCCTCAGATCTGGAACACGGCCGGCAGGAAGGCTGTTTTCAGTGTGCCCTCTAGTGGTCAGGGTCAGTTCAGGCCCTCATTTCAACTCCTATGGAGGTCTAACCCCACAGGGCACCCAATCCAAGTGTGCTGTTTCACTATCGTCTCAGAGTTTCTCAGCACTGAGGAGACACACACCTGTCAGTCACCTGGGCACCACAGGGGCACACACCTGTCA